AAAAAAACTAAGAGAAGCCTCAGGATGCCTTTAGAAACTGGTTGCTGATTTGCTGCCTTGAAAGCAAAAATTTGATGCCGATACTTTTGCTAACACAAAAAAATTCCTTGTAATATGGTTAGCTTCCAAGAGTATAAAGGAAACAAAATCTTACAAAACCTTTTAGAAATGTTTCTGAAAAGATGGGAAGAGTTTTAAAAGAAATGATAAGCCTGTTAGAGCATTCCGCTGATTTTATAAGTCTTCGACTGAAACTATTCGTCTCGATATCCCAACTCAGCTTTCAATGTATAGTCATACCTTTTGTCCATGTTTCTCCTCTCTTTCCTCTTTTCTTTCATCAGTTGTCACTGCATAATCATCATCTGACTCAGCTGTGTCCAAATCTGGGAAAGTAGGCGAGAATTTCGGCACCTTCCTAGAGACAAAGCGATTGCAAACTACTTATCTAAGGCTGATTATTACCTCAAATTCAATTTGTTCAGCAAATCATCAAGGGTGCGTTCTTCTTCTAGAGTGGACTTTACACTGTCTTCTTCCTGTACATCAGAATCAGCTTTGTGGTTCGTGTCCTGGCCCGTGTTGAAGTCTGGAGGCGGCGTTTCCGTACCGCTTACGCTAGCGTTCGGAGCTGCTGCTGAACAGCTTTTGACAGCCTAAATGAAGAGAAGTCAGGATAGTTCTCAAATAACTGGCCTAATTCAGTTATGAGTGAACGAGAGTAGTTAAAGTCAGTTTACAACGGTCAGAGATATACTAAGCAAACAGGAAATTCCTCTACAATCAAATAACAGCTTCCAGTTTCAAAGTACCTTTGTTCCTATCTCAGAATTGTGCGTACCATCCAAATTAATTGTTGAATTAGTTCCCTTTTTCAATTCCCAGATTACTCTGGTACCAATTTACCGGACCCGAATGGTAGAGGACTTGGTTGGCCCAGGGAAGGGGGGGGGGATCTAAGCGGGTCCGATATGGTCATAGCGGCGCCTCATACCACTACGCCAGTCGTCCCCCTCAAGACACTGTAAAAGGCCTGCATTCATCTGCCTCTTGGGTTACGAAGTAGAATGCGTTTGGAGCATGCCCGCAAAGGGTATTGAAGACTCCGAATCCTCTAACCTTTATCCTTTAATAGTTCCCCTACGGTGATGACAACATTGGTGCGAAAATAAATGCCAGCTTACGAATACCGTCAGCTTGCTTGTAACTTGCGTAAATGGCCATAGAGAGCATATCTTAATTACTTACGCACAAGTGCTGTCTGCAACGCAAGCACACCATATTTACCGCCAGATATGTTATTAAATACAGCCGCTTTGTACCAGACACCGCTGCAGCAGATGTTCTGGGTGGTGCAATTACACGATTAGCACCTTGCACAACGAGTTCTTCTGGACAAAGTTTAGTCATCTGTTTTGATATGTGTATTGCAGAACATGCACGGAATTTAACGAATTGCACGTTTGAAATGTTAATTTTGTAGATTCCTCTGTTTTCATCCCTTCGAGCGTAAGTAAGATGAAATAGTCATTTCCAACTGTTCACCTCACCGAATTTTTCTTTCAACTACTCGTTAGTAAAGTAGTCGTGAGGTGGCATGTGGGGTGTGCAATCTCACACTTTGAGTTACGAATGACTCGAATATACATATAGTTGCAAATTCTCTGCGAAAAGAGTAGAAATCAACCTATTTCATGTTTTTGAAAACGACTTTTTTTCCTTTTTGTGACTGGAGCAGAAGCTGAATTTTTTGAAAAAGGAAAGTGTTCTTACCAAATGATTTTTTCAATGATAGCCAACCAAAACTTTAATTTCAAATTTGAATGTGATCCAAGCCCAAGTGTTTTATGTTTTAGTATGTCCTTTTTTGTTTTTATTTTTGTTGCACTCTTCTGTATTATAAATAAACAATGAATTATACATAAAACGAGAATTTGTCACCAGTAACAAAACCAAATTACCTCAGAAAGTTGCTCGACTGCATTTCGTATCTCTTGAGCTTTTGGTTCTGCATTCGCTTTCACACATTCCCTATCGGTACATCGTAGTAACTGAACAAGTGCAGCCTGCAACATAAAAGTGTCATTTTCTAGATTGATTGGAGTTTTTTCCCTAAAAGAAGTAAAGTTTTGATTGATTTTGATTGACTATTACCTGTAATCGCTTATCTTTATTGTTGCAATTCACTGACACGGCATCAAACACAGCCGAAGTGCTATCTGAAATATTTGAGAGTACAAAATTCATTTATTATTTGCAGTAGAATAAAGAATAGGTGAAAAATTATATTCTTTGAATTACGAATGAGATAAACAGAATCGGATGAGTCAAACTTATCTAAAAATTTATCTAATTTGAACTGCTGATTCGTGGTTTTCAAGCTTTGTGCATTTATCCAAACACAACTGATTAGATTATTTCTTGAAAAAATTAGCATTTTTCCACAAGAAAGAAGCAACTTATCTGAATATAGAAAAGCAATTTGTTTCTAAAGCCAAAACGATTGAAATTTGCATTTCAAGACGAAGTACTTAAAAGCTTAGAAACCAAAATTTAGCCCCAAACTGATAATCAAGAGTTTGTTAGTGGTTGGCTCTAGCGAGTCAAATTTTGCCAATATTTAACAAATAGTTTTTGAGCTGAAGATTTTCCTTCTCGAAAATAACTTACTCAATATTAAATGTGGACTTTGTGACGAGATCACTTGCTGAAGATATCTCAAAGCTATCTCCACCTCCCTTGAGCAGGACATCCTCTGAAAATTCA